GCTCTAGCCACAACACCACGGAGGCGGTCCCTTAACATGTGTTAGATTTGGTTACAATGTGGTTACCGTGATATCACACAACGATGGAAGTGAGATAGCAAATGGTACAGATAGACAGATAGACAGACAGACAGACACACACACACACAGACAGGCAGACAGACAGACAGACAGACAGACAGACACACACATAGATAGATAGATAGATAGATAGATAGATAGATAGATAGATAGATAGATAGATAGATAGATAGATAGATAAGATAAGATAAGATAAGATAAGATAAGATAAGATAAGATAGATAGATTATGATAGATAGAGATTCCGTGGCAACAAATTTGACTTCTGATGGAACGGGTGCGTTTTTTCCAGAGCAGATCTTGAAAACTGTTAAGTGTTTCTTTATCAAACTTGACATATACATAGATGGTAATAGTGAAGAACCGGTGTCTTTTGATACTTCGAGATTTCTGAAATTCTGTTTATTGAGTTTCCGTAGCAACAGGTGTGACCTACACTTAAAATGGTGTTGGTTACACCTTCCAGAGCAAAAAAAGTGTACAATATTTCTTCACAAAACGTGGTACTTAGATAGTTCTAGTGGTAAACTGGTGTCTTTTGATAGTTTTTGAATTCTGAAAAAAATATTACTCAAAGAAAACACTAAATAATGTCAGTTGTTCAAATAGAATGTATCATTGCGGGGCATACGAAAAGCAAGATTAATGAATGTTAACTTTTTTATTGTGAATAACACGACGTTTCGGAGTGTGTGCCTGCTCCTTCATCAGGTGTGTAGTCGGCTAAGGATTGGGTCTTTTGGTAGAGGTCGGGCTGGAGGGTGTGTTCAAGTTGAGCTCTGGTGCTGTCGATCAGGGTATGGCGGTAGGCTTTCCGTGAGCGTAGGTGCTGGATCTGGTGCTGGAGTATTCTCGAGCTGGCATGGTGAAGGATCTTGTTGATGACGGGGGAACGTAGAGACGATGGTGGTTCCTCTGGGGTCGAGGTTGTTGTTTCGGCTAACCATCTAAGAAAAGTTAGATGGCTGTTGGTCTTTACGCTCTTGATGATGGTCCTGTTGTACTTAAAGGATATTACTGCATCATCTCTATGTTGATGTCGGATCAAATCTTTGAAGGGCGTTTAGAAGTGGAAAGCAAAAGAAAAGCACGATTTATGAGTGTCAACACGACACGTCGTGTTATTCACAATAAAAAGTTGACATTCATAAATCTTGCTTTTCTTTTGCATTCCTCTTCTAAACGCCCTTCAAAGATTTGATTGTGGGGGATATTGATGACTTTGTCCTCTTGTTATATTTTAGCATAGTGGTGGAACGTTTCTGGAAAGTACTGATATGTTCTCCTTTCAATTCTGCCTTGCTCAGTATAATGTATCGTTGTTTCTCTTTCAGGTTGATGCAGACACTGTCCTAAGTATTGATGATGAAAGGTTGGCAGGGTTTATTCCCAGACTTGGCGATCGAGTCGCTTTAAGAAACTTCTGTTCGCGAAAACAGCAGCCAAAACACAAGACAACAAAGAGGTCATAACTGTTTGATTTGCTGAAAAGTAAAATAAGCAGAATGGATAATGATGGGAAAAACTCGAGCACGGATGATTCAGCTCGCTCTCCAGATTGCTCAACATGAAAATACGAGAGAAAGAAAACCAGGCGAATAGAATTTGGTTGGATCCACAACAAAAAGCAAATACGTAAACGACTTGGTGGAGGAACTAGGAAGTTAGATGTCAGCCGGAACGCAATAAAGGCAGATCTTCTGAAAATTGGAAAAGATCTCTTTTTTCCAAATGGACATTCCACAAAAGGCTCAACAGAAGACTTCCTGTTTGACCTTCTTGATTTTAAGGAAACACCCGTCCCAGAGGATATCACAGTTGCAGATTGTTATGAACTATTTAAGACGGGGATTATCACTTTCTACCTCCACACAGTGGATCAACAGACTGAGAGAACACATACGGTATCACCTTCTACCAGCCCAAGTCAGACCAGGGTCACCACGAGGTCCATGAAAACGAAGCAGGCAACTTTGACACAGTCTGATAGATCCAGAACATCTCTTGAATTGAACAACATTATGGCTAACAAGAGATCTTTGGAGCCATCGCCTTCAACATCTCACAGTGATGTCACAAGTGTCAGTGAGAATTCAACACCGACCTCAGATCACAGTGATTGTGACATACTAGGTGAAGCTTGTGCGGCAATTGGTGGATTCGAAAATGATGATACTCTCCCTGACATCACAGAGGAAGAAATTATTTTCAATTTTGGGCTTGAGGCAGACCTGGAAACGATTCAGAACAGCCCGGAGCCTGACGTTGTGGTAATGAAGATTCATCGTGGATCTATGGCGTTCCTTGAGATATGTACATATTTTAAAGATCCCACAGTTCTGGGAAAGATAATCAACATTGTGCGTGTTCTTTCAAATGGTGAAGTTGAGCAAGCGCAGGATACAGGTGGTGTATTGAAAGACACACTTGCAGAGTTTTGGGAAACCTTCTACAGCCAGTGCACGGTTGGGAGAAACGTGAAGGTGCCGTGTCTTCGCCATGACTTTGGTCCAGAAGAGTGGAAAGCAGTGGGAAGAGTCCTCGTCTATGGATGGAAGACACTTGGATATTGGCCTGTCCTCTTATCACGGATCTTCATTCGTCATTGCCTTTTTCCTGATCTATTCGTATCCAATGTTGATCTGATGAGCAGCTTCAACGACTTCATCTCATCTGTCGACAAGGATGTCTTCCAGAGGTCAGTTGAAAATTTCGAAAGTGTGGACTCTGAGGAACTTATCGAGGCACTCGACACACATGAATGCCGAACACGTGTTAATAAAGAAAACATCGTTGCTGTCCTGTTAGAAATCGCACACAAGGAGTTACTGCAAACACCAATGTTTGTCTGTGACTGCTGGAGGGAAATTCTTCAGGGCATTGACATTTCAACTGACAAGCTTGACAAGTTGTACAATACCCTGGTTCCCACCAACAGAGAAGTTGCCCGGATCCTGGTCTTTCCGGAAACCAAAGGTCCTCTGGAGACGGATGTTGCCAAGTATCTGAAGAGATACGTAAAGGAACTCGACCAAGAAAAACTTCGTTTGTTTCTGCGGTATTGTTCCGGCTCAGACCTACTTATCTGTGATAGAATCACTGTCGAGATGATATCCATGAAGCCGTTTGAACGACGGCCGATTGGACACACATGTGGATCTGTGCTTCAAGTTGGTAACCATTATGACAACTTCATGGAGTTCAGAGGCGAATTCGACAGAGTCCTGGAGAGCAACATTTGGATTATGGATCTTGTTTGAGTCTAGAATGATATTTTCTTTTCCATTTGTGATAACGTGAAATTATTATCAGAGTATATTGGACAATCAAACAACATGCCTTTATTATTAATTCCTGATTTGTTCTTGCATCAGATGTGATTTGATGTTCATTTAACGCGTTCTGACTGTGTTGTGAATTAAACTGAGCAAGTTTGGTTACAAAGAATAGTTTCCTTTTTTCAAGATATTGTCAGTGCAGTGTAAGCTAGATGGCACATATTAAACATTGTTATATCAGCGTACTATTCATATTATATTATTCCAATTTGACCAGAAGAGATCAAAGTTGATATTTAGGATTTGATTATATTACTTATGTATATTTTTCATTTCATAAAGACTCCAAAGCACGTAAATATTACGTGAGTAGAACTTGGATGAATGTTCTTAATAAGCTGTGAGTTTATGCCGCCAAGTAATATAGTGGTATTTCTACAATGATTGTGTTTTAACAAGAATAATTCCTTGTCTTAGTAAAGGAAGTACTATTATTTGTGTTTAATGAAAAGAAATTGTTTTCAAGTTTAGTAATTTTAAGAGTCAAAGTTGAAACAGTAAATGATTGTGTTATCATTTACTGTTTAGCTCCTGCACTTGCAATCTGTCAGTCTGCACACATGGCAAAGGCGTTGTTTTGAAATATATGTCTCATAAACTGATCGTACCATTCAGTGAAAAGTCATTTAAAAATTGTTTCAAAGTTAAAATAACATTGTTCAGTTATTTTTCACTGTTTTACTGCTGCTCACGTTCATTTATACGTGCAATTTACAGCAAGGTATTCGTTGTTTCTTCACTGGAAAAATATTAAAGGTAACTTTAAAAAAGGTCATAACTTCTGTTTTGATTTGTTTACTAGAATTTAGAATAGATTAACATATGTGAGGTTACTAACATGTTGATGCGGCTTTCTCATCCTCACGAGGTACCCATTCACAGCTGGGTGGACAGGGACATATAGGCACAGTACTTTGTCGAAGTTTACTGCACGTTAGCTTCACCCGCAACTAGGTGTTTGCACGTATTCATGTGGCCACCATCTGGTCATATACCAACGGATTCGTGGGTTCTTTTAAGTGCACAGGGTTGTGTACTGTACACTAGGGGTTGTGACAACACTGAAAGCGTCTGCGCACAAACTGGACTCCAAGGTTTTTACACCCGGTGACAGGTGGGCTCAATCCCGACACCTCAAGCTGTCTGGATCACTAGCCTGGCGCCTTAGCCAGCCCGCCCACCATGCCCCCATAGTTGATAAGTTGATAGAAATATGGTGCTGAGCATCTGCTCAGCTGAAACGTCAGCAGTATACATGTCGATGATATCACATCACACCAAACTTCATACTTCCAACTAGGTGGAAATTAAGTAAATCAATATATCATTTAGATTTTATATTTAAGATATATGTAAGTCTTATAATGTAACAATGGTTACAGGAGAACTCGATAAGTACTGCTCGCAGTCCTGGTTCTATTTTGAATTACTAGAGGGCCTGAGTCTGAGACAAAAAAGCAAATCTTTGATTTTTACAAATGTACTTTATATCTTGTTTTCAGTAACCGAAAGTTGCTTAAAAAAGAATTCCATGGAATTCAGTATTGGTGGCAATATAGCATCCAGGTCGTGTCGTTACATTTAGTCAATTTCGTTTCGTATTTCCCGCCTAAGAAACTGATACAACAGGATTCCGTTTTCCATACAAGTTGGGTTTTGTCGTCCATGTTCTTCCATTAATAGCTGGCAGATTTCGAACACGGTCTCGTCGCAGCAGAACGGCCCTTTCGGGCGACTCTGTTGCACACACAAGTCAACTTCTTGGTCTGAAACTTCACGCAGATAGTCATGTGCGTCATACAGATCAGCACATGAATACATGACAACCGGTTTCCCACCTGGAGCCTGGAGGTGTTTCGATGATCTTATTCTATGTGTGTTCCAGAGTTTCACAACCTCATCTAATTCAGACTGAAAAAAGAAATACATGCTATAAGGGGTAGATAATTAAGGACCAGCTGGATGATTATCTTATTTATTATTTTCATTTGTATTGGTGTAAACTCATTTTTGACATGATCACACCGTTGGAGAGGATATTCTCACTATTACATGGGGCTCAGTGACGTAAGTTATGGCCAGAGGATTTTGTTCAACATTGCGACCAACATAGTGTTCTCGCTACCTCATATATGCACTACACGCTCATGTACATAAAACTAACCCACATAGCGACTCAGATGGACACGCAAACACATTTATTTCCGACAAAACATACTTTAAAGATATCACTCTACCCAGCTGTAAATGGGTAACCCATAATCATGTGATTAATACGGGCATGCTATCTCTGAGCGCCTCCAGAGGCGGGAATTGAGATGGAAATTGGGTTAACATTAATGCGACAGTCATCATCTGTTAAGATGAATTCAGCGCTATAGAAATCCATTGCATCATATCAAACCGTAAAAACAGTTTACCTTTAGAATGAATAAGAAAACGGTTTACAACTTGGTTTTCATACTTCACAACGTGTTGTCATTAATATTACCCATTTTACATTTTGGTAAAATGCTCATGGCTCGTATTTGACAGTTACTATCCCCCCTTCAAACAGTATAATGTCAGGATTACTCAAAGTGTTTAATCGCTAAATCAATATCGTGGACATAATTGACAATTGTTTCAAAAGAACATACACATAGTTTGACATTATAGATAAAACTACCTGTATCAAGTCCATGAAACAAAACTGAATCAAGGATTTGTCGAGAAAGCCTCCAACAAAGAGGTCCATTCCTTTCAAGATCTCGAAGGTATCAATCCAATGCTGACAATTCATCTTCCGTAAAGTGCCCCACCATTGTTCAATTCTTTGATTGTGATTGCTCGATCCAACCAAGAAACAATTATTTGCATATTGATCTTGATCGTTACGTCGTAAGAATGACAGCATGTCCCTCACATGACCATTTTCGGTACCTTTATCCGCTCTAATACGAGTTGGACAACCTTTCCGCCTTCTCACTTCTTGCAAAAAGTATCCGGCAATAAGCCTGGGATCACTGCTTGTTTTGTGAGCTTCTAACCAAACAATATATCGAGAGAAACCGTCGATTGCGCCGTTGATGCATATCCCATATGGCTTGAGTTTGTCATAACTGTCCATATGCCAAAGAAAGTTTGGTCCATAGTTGAAGTATTCTCGTCTCAGGAGACGATGACGACGTCGCAGTTTCACACCTTGGGGATCGATGATCTGCATGAGCTGCCTCACAACCTCCTGTGTAACAACTAGTCCATTCTGTATACATTTCAAATGCATCATTTTGTACCCAAAACATTTCCCAGAAACCTGCTGTTGCTCCGTTAAAAAAAGGGCAATGTCAACAATGTCACTATGTTTTCCACGGCGATATAGACTCTTTCTTTTCAGGACCCTCTTAAGTGTACGTCTGCTAACAATGATTCCGTTGATATGCGCTAGACACGCCAATATTTCAGTGTATCCTACTCCCAGTGAAAAATATAGAGAAATCGCTTTCTCCATTACCGCACCAAATGAATACAGCATGAATAGAACAATATATATAGGTAGATACTAAGTCCTACGTAGGAGATAGTAAGTCCTACGTAGGAGATACTAGGTCCTACGTAGGAGATAGTAAGTCCTACGTAGGAGATACTAAGTCCTACGTAGGAGGACTAAGTCCCTACGTAGGAGATAAGTCCTACGTAGGAGATACTAGGTCCTACGTAGGAGATACTAAGTCCCTACATAGGAGATACTAAGTCCTACGTAGGAGATAGTATGTCCTACGTAGGAGATACTAAGTCCCTACGTAGGAGATGTCCCTACGTAGGAGATACTAAGTCCTACGTAGGAGATACTAAGTCCTACGTAGGAGATAGTATGTCCTACGTAGGAGATACTTAAGTCCTACGTAGGAGATACTATGTCCTACGTAGGAGATAGTATGTCCTACGTAGGGAGATAGTAAGTCCCACGTAGGAGATACTAAGTCCTACGTAGGAGATACTAAGTCCTACGTAGGAGATACTAATGTCCTACGTAGGAGATACTAAGTCCTACGTAGGAGATACTAAGTCCTACGTAGGAGATACTAAGTCCTACGTAGGAGATACTAAGTCCCTACGTAGGAGATACTAAGTCCTACGTAGGAGATACTAAGTCCTACGTAGGGAGATAGTATGTCCTACGTAGGAGATACTAAGTCCTACGTAGGAGATGCTAGTATGTCCTACGTAGGAGATAGTATGTCCCTACGTAGGAGATACTAAGTCCTACGCAGGAGATACTAAGTCCTACGTAGGAGATAGTATGTCCTACGTAGGAGATACTAAGTCCTACGTAGGAGATACTAAGTCCTACGTAGGAGATAGTATGTCCTACGTAGGAGATAGTATGTCCTACGTAGGAGATACTAAGTCCTACGTAGGAGATACTAAGTCCTACGTAGGAGATATACTAGTCCTACGTAGGAGATGCTAAGTCCACGTAGGAGATGCTATGCCCTACGTAGGAGATACTAAGTCCCTACGTAAGAGATACTAAGTCCTACATAGGAGATAGTATGTCCTACGTAGGAGATACTAAGTCCTACGTAGGGAGATACTAAGTCCTACGTAAGGAGATACTAAGTCCTACATAGGAGATAGTATGTCCTACGTGGGAGATAGTAAGTCCTACGTAGGAGATACTAAGTCCTACGTAGGAGATACTAAGTCCTACGTGGGAGATACTATGTCCTACGTAGGAGATACTAAGATACATTGTATTGTCTTCTTAATTGGAATATTTTAGCTTTGTTCACTAGTTTTATATTGATATCTGTGATTGTCTAGTATTTTTTTACTGTCCTTCGTCGGCAGGTTTTTATAATAACTATACATATTTTATTGCAATGTCAAAATGTTCTCGTCACGATATGGCTGAAATATTGCCGATGTGACGTTAAATAATTACTCACTCACACTCACTCACTAAGTCCTACGTAGGAGATACTAAGTCCTAAGTAGGAGATACTAAAGTCCTACGGTGGAGATAGTAAGTCCCTACGTAGGAGATACTAGGTCCTACGTAGGAGATAGTAAGTCCTACGTAGGAGATACTAAGTCCTACGTAGGAGATACTAAGTCCCTACGTAGGAGATACTATGTCCTACGTAGAGATATTCTATGTCCTACGTAGGAGATACTATGCCCTACGTAGGAGATACTAAGTCCTACGTAGGAGATACTAAGTCCTACGTAGGAGATAGTATGTCCTACGTAGGAGATACTAAGTCCTACGTAGGAGATACTAAGTCCTACGTAGGAGATAGTATGTCCTACGAAGGAGATAGTATGTCCTACGTAGGAGAAACTAAGTCCTACGTAGGAGATACTAAGTCCTACGTAGGAGATACTAAGTCCTACGTAGGAGATGCTAAGTCCCTACGTAGGAAATGCTATGCCCTACGTAGGAGATACTAAGTCCTACGTAAGAGATACTAAGTCCTACATGGGAGATAGTATGTCCTACGTGGGAGATACTAAGTCCTACGTAGGAGATACTAAGTCCTACGTAGGAGATGCTCTAAGTCCTACGTAGGAGATACTATGTCCTACGTAGGAGATACTAAGATACATTGTATTGTCTTCTTTAATTGGAATATTTTTAGCTTTGTTCACTAGTTTTTATATTGATATCTGTGATTGTCTAGTATTTTTACTGTCCTTCGTCGGCAGGTTTTATAATAACTATATATATTTTATTGCAATGTCAAATGTTCTCGTCACGATATGGCTGAAATATTGCCGATGTGACGTTAAATAATAACTCACTCACACTCTCACTAAGTCCTACGTAGGAGATACTAAGTCCCTACGTAGGAGATACTAAGTCCTACGTAGGAGATAGTAAGTCCCTACGTAGGGGAGATACTACTAGGTCCCTACGTAGGAGATAGTAAGTCCTACGTAGAAGATACTAAGTCCCTACGTAGGAGATACTAAGTCCCACGTAGGAGATACTATGTCCCACGTAGGAGATACTAGGTCCTACGTAGGAGATACTATGCCCTACGTAGGAGATACTATGTCCTACGTAAGAGATACTAAGTCCCACATAGGAGATAGTATGTCCTACGTAGGAGATACTAAGTCCTACGTAGGGAGATACTAAGTCCCACGTAGGAGATACTATGTCCTACGTAGGAGATACTAAGTCCTACGTAGGAGATACTAAGTCCTACGTAGGAGATGATATGTCCTACGTAGGAGATACTAAGATACATTGTATTGTCTTCTTTAATTGGAATATTTTAGCTTTGTTCACTAGTTTTATATTGATATCTGTGATTGTCTAGTATTTTACTGTCCTTCGTCGGCAGGTTTTATAATAACTATATATATTTTATTGCAATGTCAAATGTTCTCGTCACGATATGGCTGAAATATTGCCGATGTGACGTTAAATAATAACTCACTCACTATAACTATTAACTATAATAACTATATACTAAGTCCTACATAGGAGATACTATGTCCTACGTAGGAGATACTATTAAGTCCTACGTAGGAGATGCTATGCCCTACGTAGGAGATACTAAGTCCTACGTAGGAGATACTAAGTCCTACGTAGGAGATACTAAGTCCTACGTAGGAGATACTAAGTCCTACGTAGGAGATGCTAAGTCCTACGTAGGAGATGCTATGCCCTACGTAGGAGATACTAAGTCCTACGTAAGAGATACTAAGTCCCTACGTAGGAGATAGTATGTCCTACGTAGGAGAGATACTAAGTCCTACGTAGGAGATACTAAGTCCTACGTAGGAGATACTAAGTCCTACGTAGGAGATACTAAGTCCTACGTAGGAGATACTATGTCCTACGTAGGAGATACTAAGTCCTACGTAGGAGATACTAAGTCCTACATAGGAGATAGTATGTCCTACGTAGGAGATACTAAGTCCTACGTAGGAGATACTAAGTCCTACGTAGGAGATGCTAAGTCCTACGTAGGAGATGCTATGCCCTACGTAGGAGATACTAAGTCCTACGTAAGAGATACTAAGTCCTACGTAGGAGATAGTATGTCCTACGTAGGAGATACTAAGTCCTACGTAGGAGATACTAAGTCCTACGTAGGAGATACTAAGTCCTACGTAGGAGATACTATGTCCTACGTAGGAGATACTAAGTCCTACGTAGGAGATAGTATGTCCTACGTAGGAGATACTAAGTCCTACGTAGGAGATAGTATGTCCTACGAAGGAGATAGTATGTCCTACGTAGGAGATACTAAGTCCTACGTAGGAGATACTAAGTCCTACGTAGGAGATACTAAGTCCTACGTAGGAGATAGTATGTCCTACGTAGGAGATAGTAAGTCCTACGTAGGAGATACTAAGTCCTACGTAGGAGATACTAAGTCCTACGGCCCAGAAAGCGGTGGCTCATGGGCCAATCTGGTGGATTCATTAATCTTTTAATTTTTCTGCTGGAGTATGTCATCCGGGTATCCTTGGTGCTGCAAGTCGGAGATCCGCTTGTTTTTAGCATCGTCCTTGTGATACTCCGTGGTGGGTGGGGAGCTCGGATGATGAAATCTAATACAATAACCATGGCTTACGAAACACCAACAAAAAAAACCAAACGTCCTCTTGACAATGACCCTGTTGATGATGACCACAGACTGCCTAAATCGATTGAGTATTGGCCACGTTTCCTTGTAATCGAGACTCTAGACAAAAGTCCATTAAAGTTGAACCCTTTTGCAGTATCTAAGGGTATTCAAGGTATTGCTGGGGATGTAAAGAACATTAAACGTCTCCGTTCAGGTGCGCTGCTAGTTGAATGCGCGAAAAAAACACAATCAACCAACTTGATGAATACAGAATTGTTCGTTGGCATTCAGGTCTCGGTCTCTGCTCACAAAACTTTGAACACAAGTAAAGGAATCGTCAGAGACCGGGACAGATTGTTTGATGATATGTCAGAACTTGACATAGTATCAGAAATGAAAGATCAAGGTGTTCTTTACGTTAAGCGCTTTACAACCCGAAAAAACAATGAAACTTTCAGAACAAATACCTATCTGTTTTCCTTTTCATCCCCAAATGCTCCCAAATCGCTGAAGGCAGGTTACTGTAACATTCCCGTCGACATCTACATCCCTAACCCACTCAGGTGTTTTAAATGCCAGAAATATGGACACGGTGTAAATACTTGTACATTGTCTGTTGTGTGTGCTCACTGTGGTGAGAAGACACACACAACAGAAGATTGTAACAGTACTTTTAAAAAATGCACCAACTGCTCGGGCGACCATTCAGCTTTTTCTAAAGAGTGTCCCATTTGGAAAGAGCAAATGGCAATTAACAAAATCAAATTTACCCAAAATATCACTTTTTCTGAGGCCAAAAAACTGGTAAAGAGATCCGACCTTCCAGAGAGTTATGCTGCAGTAACC